AAAAAAAAAAAAAAAAAAAAAAGAAAAAAGAAAAAAGAAAAATGGACCGAGAGAGAAAGAGAGAGAGAGAGAGAGAGAGAGAGGGAGGATGTCGTTGGGACGCTTGGCGAGCGTTTTTTTTTTTTTTTTCGAATTAAACGATCTCGATCATCGACCACCTCGTTGTATCGAGACCAAGGTGTCACACGGTTTATTTCTGAAACGAAAAACTCATTGGTATTTGAACGAACTTGTTGACCGAGCACACTGGCTCTCGAGCATTTCGAGAGCAAGAGAGAAGAACGTGGCGAACCGAGAGTTTTGTATCTTGGTGTTCTTGTGAATCGGACGCAAATTTGTCGCGCGCTTGATGTGAATTGTATATTTGGAGTGTTTCAAACTATTTCTTTTTTCCATCGTTTTACGTTCTTTTTTTTTTTATTTCATTCCTTTTACTATTGTGCTTTATTTATTCGATGCTATACTCTGGCTTAGTTTGCGTAGCTTTGCTTCTGTTTTGATAAAGGGAAAAGATTTTTCTGAACGTAGAAAATCACTTGTTTCAACCTATATATAAGTTGAAACAATATAATATATATATGTACTATATATATTATACTATATACATACTTTATGTTATATATATATATATATATATATATATATAATATGTAACAATATAATAATACATACGTAACGTATTATATGTAACAATATTATATATATATACTAAACTGTATATATTATAGTATACTAGATACTATATATATAGGAAAGGTTAACCTAACCTAAAACCATCGAGAAAATCACTTGTTTTAACCTATATATATGTATAATATTCATTCAAAATTTCCTCTTTCTCATTTCTCATTTTCAACCTTTCCTTTCATGTCATCGCTCACTTTCAGTAAAACGAAAAATCGACAAAATCCACTGATCCAGTTACTGATGCAAGAATGAACAATTAAACAGAACTCGTTCCATTGGCACGAGACAATGGAAACGCTACAAATATTTGCAGAGAATGGCTGAGAAAGATCCGAGTTTGTTGCGCGACAAATACCGGAATCCTCGCGGGCCATTGGCGGATAAAGTTTACAGAAAGTCTAGTGTTTACCTGATAATTTCCACAGAGGCAAGTAACGATGTGACCGGTTTCAGAGACAAGCAGAAGATGGTCCACGCTCTCCAGGGTCATGTTGCTGACGCAGTTACAACCACTGTCTCCGCACTTGGTCTGGCAAGGGTTGTTCGGACTCTGCTTCGAGCTGCTTTCAACCTACGGGGGGGCAAAGAAACAACAACGGGCGCGTTCACGATTTGGCATTGTGCGACCAAGTGGTTTTCGTGTCGTATGGAACTCGCGCGGAACTTTTACTTGGTTCCAGTTCCAAGTTTCTCGCTGTTCTTCCCTCCTTTCTTGCCAACTCGCCCCTTTCTTTCGTTCAATTCGACGATTCCGACGTGGTGGTAGATTTAAACTTGGATTTTTCTGTGATCGAACACACGAAGATCGCGGGGAGAGAGCGTGATAAGTGCATTCTCGTCGATTCTTTTATTTTATTAATTTTATTAATATAATATACTTTAATAATATTTGATTTTCAAATGTTTCAATAATATAATATGTTTTATGAATTTCATTAATTTTAATATTCGTTAAAATATATATTTAAAAATATTTTTAAAAGTTATGAAAAAAAAAGATGACGGAGAGATATATTCAATAAAATATACCCAAGTACAATGTCAACAATATGGAATATCGATTGGTAATTTCGCTTTCTATTTTTATTCTATCCCCGTCGATAATTTTTTATTTCATTTTCAGTCAATTAATAATAATGCAACTCGTCGTCTTTTTTCTCTCCTAGTCTTCGCATCTTCTTATTTTTTTTTTTACTGTCAAATTTCCAAATTGAATGCACGAAATCCAAGAATGAATCGGCAACGTAACGAGCATAGATGTCTGATTATTCCGCGAAAAATGCCGAGTTTCCAGCGAGTAAACACGATTCGTGGAACTTACGCGGATGATGACCGACTGATTAGCCGCTGGAATGAAGTGCTGCCTGCACTTTATAGGGCCCTCCATGGCGAATAATCGGTGAGGCTCCGGATGTACCACGGTACCTTTCACCGGTGACGTCAGCCCGTAATATTCGACGTCGCACACGCTAGCCGGCTGTTGAGTGCCACCCTCGCGTTCTGAAATATCGACAACCGAACGAATTCAATCGTGGCTGGATGTCGAAAGGATTACAAAAATATCTCCAATGTTTCGAGGATCAGTCAAAACAGCCGAGATAAATAGACTTTGTGGCAAACAGGTTCTTAAGAACTATCTAGGTCTTTGTTTGTTATTTGTTATTTAATCCCTATTTTTTTTTTTTAGGATATTTTTTCCTTGGTTTCCTTTAGATGGAGATTGAACGAGTAGAGAGATAGCAACTTTGGTCGAATGAAATATCGAAGCGCGGTTTAGTCTGATTAATAGAGTGCTTATTCTACTTAAACTGCAGAGTTCTAATTACTTCTGAGAGGAAGATTCATCCTTCTCCCAACTTTTCTTTTTATAATTTACTTTCTTTCAAGTTTGTACCACTATACTTCACACTATAATTCACATAATTTAATATTTGACAATAATTATGACAATAATGTCATTATTACAGAAGCACAAAGCACAGAAAGTCGTGTGCGAATTACTGATTTCGAGAAAGTGTCGTTTGGTTTACAGTCCAGTTTGGTAATTAGTATTTATAGCAAACGTCAGAAACGGTTTGAAAAATCAAATACTCGTTCCAATTTTATGCACGCCAAACTAAATTAAATATACAGAGATTAAAATTTACTGCTCGATACAATAAAGTTTCATTCGCGTGATATTGTAACGCAAACTTCGATAAATTGAACCGACAGACGATTGTGTTAAAGTCACATGCAGGGAAGTGCGTCGCGTCGTCAAATCGATTGCGAGCCCGTTTTCGCGTAATCGAGGCGCGGCGGTCTGTCGGTGCGACAATTTCGTCATTCAGCGTCGGCGAGATGCCGGCTAAATTAGCGGTGCAATTTCAGGCAACGTGAACGATACGTCAAACGCGAACTCGTCACGTTGTAAAAGCTCGCCGCCGCGTTGTTACGCCGGCTAACCAAAATTCTCCTCCGTGATACGACCTCGATGGCAAATAGACGCTAGTGTCAATTGCCAGGCGGTTGTTTCCCGGAAAAGCGTTCAGCAAAGTAGAATGGGACGAAAGTTCGCGATCAGACGAGGTTTTCCACGAACGATCTGCTCCTTTATCCCTACATTTTACGTGAAAAGATAAACAAAATATTAAAAATATCGATCCGTATTCGGATCAATAATTCGTTTAACATCAAAATTGATTAGGAAATGCATTTTCGTAGGATTTCGACGAATCAGTAGAAAAACGAAGATATTATAGATATTTAAAGAATGGAAATATCTTTGTTCTTCGTGGATTCAATAAATCTGAATCACCATAAAAAGGAAGGAATATTCTATTTGAAAGAGTAAAAATATTTCTATTCTTCGTAGAATTTATAATAAATCCGAGTAAACAGAGAAATTTCTGAAACAATAGAAATATTTTCTTCTTCATAGAATTTTAATAAATCTGAATCCATCAGAAGGAGGAAGATATTATATTTCAAAGAGTACAAATATTTTCTTTTTAATTAAAATACGTATCATAGGAGAAAGAATAGAAATATTTTCCTCTTCATAGGGGAATTTTAATAAATCTGAATCCATTAGAAAATGGAAGAATTATTAAAAGGAAGATGTTATGTTTTAAAGAATACAAATACTTTCTTCTGAATTAAAATATTATGATTCTTCCCTCTAAAAATTAAATTTAACTTTCAATTTACCATAGCTTGGACAATCTTCAGTGTTATAAGAATTTTATTTTCGCCAGAGAAACAGAACCGTTTCTCGTCGTTAGTTTTTATTTTTCGCGCAAGTTCTCTACCAAGGGTCGCGTGTATGCAAAGAAACAAGGAAACTTCGCTGCGGGCACACTCCGATACCGCCTATTTCAACTAACTTTTCCGTGTCTCGAACTTCCTTACCTTGCTCCAAGTTTTTTCCCGGAGTTTCGTTTTGAGGACACTTTCGTTTTGCAGGTCGCTTACGTGTGCGTAATGCGTGCTGAAGGCATGATCTCGTGGAACGTTTCAGCGTATTTTCACTTTACGATCGCGTTGAATATATTAAGACCATCGCACGGTGCGATTCGAAAATTTATACGTTCATACATACGTGCGTATATAAAATGATGTTTAAATTTATTTCATTAAATTCATCTCATTCGTAAATTTATTTGAAATTGTTTTTTTCTTCCTTTTTGGATTAATAACACACGTTGTATTGAAAAGACCGTTTGCATGTTTTCATGCAACGATACGATACATTTCATCTTTTAATTACAACGTTAAATATTTATATGAATAAGCTTCATAAAACCGAGCATTTACTTTCCGGATCATTTCGTAATCACAGGATTTTTCACATTTGCGTCAACAAATATTTGCACTATCGATTTACACGATTATTCCAATTATTCGCGTTTTATTATTCCAATGTTTGACGAATTTTCGTTTTATTTGAGTTTAATTAACAAATATTCCGAATTATTTGAATTACCGAGGAGCAACTGGTGTGGTATGAAATTAAACTACATCCGACCGCTGTAAAAAATCGGATATAACGCTTAAATAATTTTTATCGATTCCACCGTGTTTTTTTTTTATATAATTGTGAGAAATCTCCACGAATCTCATCGAATCGTTTCTTATTTCTTCTGGCTGGAAATTAGTTTCGATCGAAACACCTTCTGTGTAATTCGACAGCGAACAGGTATTGCGAAATACCGCGGACTTTTAATTGGTTAAATATTTTCTGAACATAAAGCTACGCCTAATTCGGAGTTGCATTCCCCGAGTTTGCAAAAATAAGAAAGAAGTAACACTCGATTTTCATAATAAATCCAAACAAAAATGCGAAAAGCCTGATGCGAAATTGAGATACTTGCGAATTTTGTCTTTTGCATAAAATTATTTATCTTGTCATTTTTTCTATTATTTTTATGAGAAAAGAAAGAAAAAGGAATATTTTCATCTTCGACCCTAGTAAGTAGATTAAATGATCTTTAAATTCTCCGAAAAGCTTAATTGAATATTGTCAAACGAGGTTTTTGTCTTTTGCAAAAAATTATTTATATTGCCATTCTATTATTTTTATGAGAAAAGAAAGGAAAAGGAATATTTTCATCTTCGACCCTAGTAAGTGGATTAAATGATCTTTAAATTCTCCGAAAAGCCTGACTGAATATTGTCAAACGAGAGTCTGGCAAATTTTGTCTTTTGCCAAAAATTATTTATCTTGTCATTCTATTATTTTATGAAAAAAGAGAGAAAAAGGAATATTTTCATTTTCGATCCTAGGAGATAGATTAAATGATCTTTAAATTCTCCGAAAAGCCTGATTGAATATTGTCAAACGAGATTCTTGCAAATTTTGTCTTCTGCAAAAAATTATTTATCACGTTAGATTTCCTATTATCTTTATGAGAAAGAAAAGAAGAAAGAATATTTTCATTGTCAACTCTAGAAGGTAGATTGAAAGAACTTTAAAATATTCCGAAAAGCTTGATTGAATATTGTCAAACGAGATTCTTGCAAATTTTGTCTTCTGCAAAAAATTATTTATCTCGTTAGATTTCCTATTATCTTTATGAGAAAGAAAAGAAGAAAGAATATTTTCATTGTCAACTCTAGAAGGTAGATTGAAAGAACTTTAAAATATTCCGAAAAGCTTGATTGAATATTGTCAAACGAGATTCTTGCAAATTTTGTCTTCTGCAAAAAATTATTTATCTCGTTAGATTTCCTATTATCTTTATGAGAAATAAAAGAAAAAAGAATATTTTCATTCTCAACCCTAGAAAATAGATTGAAAGAATTTTAAATTCTCCGAATAGCCTGATTAAATAGATTGAAAGAACTTTAAATTCTCCGAATAGCCATATTAAATATTATATACAAAGGAAATCGAGATACTTGCAAATTATGTCCTCTGCAAAAAATTATTTATCTCGTTATTTTTCCTACTGTCTTTATGAGAAAAGGAAGGAAAAGGAATGTTTTCATTTTCAATTTTTTCAACTAGATTAAACGACTTTTAATATCTTTCTTTCTCTCTTGCTGGAAGATTGGACGAATTTATTATCTTGGAGCGTTTTCGCGCGTGGAGAAGAGCAGGGGGGGGGGGCGAAAGCGAAATTCCCACGTTTCGTTTCGTATGCGAAAATTTCGCGAGCGAAGGTCGACGGGTCGGACAGTTTTCCCATATAAGAAAATCGCTCTCTCTCTCTCTCTCTCTCGTTTTCTCTCTCTCTGGGTACATAAAATTTTACGCTTCGATAGATTGTCCTCGGGTATTGCGGCAATACCGATACTAAAAGCGAGGGTCGGTGAATTCGTACGCGAGCGAAATTGTATGGGAAATTGTGTGTGCTCGAGGATCGTGCATTCAAGTCCCTCTTCAAAGGAATATTCAATTAATCGAAGAATCGAGTCAACGTTCGTATGATATCGGTTCGAATGCATAAATGCATAGACGCGTGTCGCGGTTCCTCGATCAATCTGACATCTCCTTATTAACGTTCAGCGATTTCAATGTAATTAAATTAAAATCCTGTCCGGTGTGCAAACAATCTTTCAGAAAATGACACGATATCCCGGACAGTCTGTTAAGTAAATTTCGAAAGGATGAACCTTCAGTTTCGAATGTATATTACTGAGATTTCGATCGATATTTTGATTGAAAGGAAAGAGAGAGAGAGAGAGAGAGAGAGAAGCGTCTAACTTTTATTGAAAGTTTTGAAGAATGAAAAATTAAACAGAACTGAAAAATGTTATTCGAAAATTAAAGAGACGAGGCTCTCGTTCTTCTTTCGCAGAATTGATTTCTTTTTCTTTTATCGTTGATAAAGAAAATTAATCGTTTTATTAATTCTTTTCAGGATACTTTTTCTAACTATAGATTGATGTTACAAAAAGATATATATATATATATATATATATACATAATTAATGACTTTTTGCTCTCCAAATGTTTGATCGATCGATCTGCACAATGTCCTTGATTTATCAGCAAACAGTACCTACTAACGCCATTA